AGGGAAGGATTCCAGAAGCAAAGAATATCACCCATCAACTCGCCTTCTCGGCTTCCCATGTCTGCCTTAGCTGGTGTTCAGAGTTTTGGACGCGCTTGTGAGCGCGCTGTACCTCTGGTTTATGTTCTGGTTGTTCGGCAATAAGACGCTGCCCTTCCTCATGTAACACATGTAGCTCATCCTGGAAGAAATTTAGTTGCAGACTTATATTTTTGTATTCACTACTTAGTAATGCAAGAGAACCTGGCGGCCGTCGATTTCAGCTCGCCGCTCCGCATGTTGAGCGATCAGCTGTTCAGCTTCTGCACTCGTCTTCGGTTGCTGGTACGATGTCATTTTGTTCCGAAGCTGTGCTGCCCATTGCTCTGCTTTTTTCACTTGATCGATATATTTATGGAGCTTGTATCTAAAAAAATCGCGCTTACATTTACTGGAACGGAATCCATTTGAATGATCCTTGCTTGTGACCTCGCAACTTGTATGATTCATTTGATATTGACAAAGTACAGAAACTAACGATTTGTCGAGGTTCTCGTTTCGCAACTCGGCTGCTTGGCTCAGCTCCTTCCAACTTTCTTCGAGTTTCTTCAACGAGTCCAGGATGGTATGCTTGAGTGGAGGTTTCTAAACGGTCATCATAATAAAAACTAAATTTTCTCAAACTAGAACTTCGCATTCAACAAGAAATTTACCTTAGCAAGAATATTCTGAGCATCTTTATCATGAGCGATGAGTTTTTGGTGAATTGCGCTCATGTCACGTTCGAGGGCAGTCTGTTTCCGTAACAATGCATCAACTCTGAACGAAATCCCAGACTAATTTCGCCACTTCATTCGTAAAGCCAAAATAGTCTGAAGCAGATCAAATAAGGTGTACTATGCTGTACTGCAACAAAGTAGTGGATCAGCTGACAGAGGTTGCGCACCCGCTCCCATTATCGCACCGTACGCAATGGAGGATTCTCAATATGGGGAAGGTACTACGCCGTCATGGCGGACTGGGTGTAGATGTTGGATTACAGTATGCGTCTAGGAACCTTGATCCCACATCCGTTTTCAAGTCTGCACAACCCCCACTGAACGATTCATGAAGCAATTACATCTGCAGTTTGCCATTACCATGCTCTCTTTCGAAATTCAAGGAATCCAGTAAGACCCATTTGGGACAAAGTGGCTGCCCAGATTATGTTGCCGCGAAAGCGGTGCTTAAAGTGATTCCTGCTAATTAGGGAACTTTCCATTTGCGAAACGATCTCGCGGCTATATAGGGCAAAAGGACCATGGCACTAAATGGTCCTTTTTTCGTGAGAATCAGCAAACTAGTCAAATCGACTCACGTAGCAAAATCTCGTCCATAATCGTCGCTACGCATAGCAGCAATTTTTTCATGAATTCTCTCGTTGGTGTCGTCGACATCACGGTTGAACGCATGGACTTCCAATGCAGCAGCGAGCTCTCTTCGATAAGCTGCCAATTTTCCGTGAAGCGCATTCCACGTGTGATTCAGATTCTGTTGCTGCTGTTGCACCTCTTCACGACTGGTTCTTCCTTGGCCGATAAGTTTTTCCCCGAGGCGATTGATTTGTTCGAGCGTCTGCTCATCTACCGACGAATCGGCCTTGGTTCCATCCAGCCTTGAATATGCACAGAACATTATTAAACCAAGCTATTCGGTGATCAACTGTCCCAAAAAAGAATGTGCTATAATATACCGATCAATCAGGAGTTTGCAGTGCTCCAGATCACGTCCCATTTCTCCTGCAGTTACCATCAGTTCTCGTTCGTGAGCCCATGATAGCACACGCTCGACCTTAATCAGAGGATATAGCAGGCGAAACGTTGTTGACGGCGAATTGAACTCATCAAACTCGATTCCGGGAACATCCTCGAACTTACCAACTGTCGGAACGTAAGCAGATCTCTAGCTTCTTCCAAGGCACGCGATTGTTCTGCGCATGCATCTACAAGGGCCATCCAACGGCTGTAGAGTCCATCGCAACGAGAGGTAATCTACAACAACAAATCATATATCACATAACTACGAAGAATTGAATCACTGCTCGCTAGACTTATACTCCTGAATTCCTAGCTTCGACCAAAATGGGAACACATCTCAAAAGGAAAAGGACTCACCCCGGCGTCTCTGTGTTTTGCGTGTAGCTCCTTTCCTCTTTGAAGTACCTGATCGATTCGCTTGCGATTCGCTGCCAGTTCTGCCTCGAGAGCTTGATGTTTCTGAAGCCGTTTCATCTTGTCCTCAATTGATGTGCACTGTCCTTGGCGCTCTTTCTCGAGACGGATTCTGAACAACATTTTGTTGAAACTGATCTCGATTTCGGGCCGAAAGCAAAAAAAAAA